CAATCCGATATGGTGTTCAGGTGACCTCTTCCTCCACAGACCGAAGGATTAGAAGGCCAGAGGAGCCGCCATGGTCTCATCCTCTAGGTAAAACAGGCCTTAGGGCTTCCTAAACTTAATTCCTGTTTCATGTAGAGCAGATCCGTTCAGGGAAAGCAGTGGTTGATTACCCTCATTGTTAAAAGTTTCTGCGTATTTCCTGTTTGAAATGGGCTAGCTTCAGCTTCCGGCCTTTGGAGCTGGTTACTCCTCCGTCCATGGGGCCAGAGATCTCAGATCAGATTTCTGCTCCCCACGGAGGCTCTCCGACTGTGGTCAAGCCACCTCTTCACCTCCTCTTTGCTAAGATGAACAGACTGAGCTCCCGGGGTCTTTCTTTCACTGGGGTTCCAGTCTTTTAGTCGTTTTTGGGGGGCTCTTCTCTTATCAGCACCTGCACTGAATAGGTTTGGATTCAGAGAATGCAAAGCGTTATAATAGGAACTCGAACAGCCTTCTGCTTGCATTTAGTTTTCCTTCACCAAGGACAGGACCTGCCGGCGGTCTTGGGTACAGCCACAACTCTTTGGGACCTGGATGCCATAAGTAAGACAGAAAGTTCCTTCGTGCTTCCGGGGGATGGCACCCTGGCCCTTCCCCAGCCTATTGCCTTTGGGACTCTGCAAAGTTTCCTTCCCGCAGGAATCTGGACAAGTGGCTCTGATCGCTGCTGTTGTGCTCACAAGAACCGTGCTCGAGTATCAGCAACGGACTGAAAGACAAATTCTCCTGACACCAAATAATGCCTTCCCTCGATTGCTGCAGCTTGGAAAGGCTTAGGGAGCCGCACACTCGCATATCCAAGAAAAGTCAGTGAAAAGAGGAAGAGTTTACAGGATGATATACCCGATAAACTGGGGGGGGGATAAAATATAGCATTGTGGAGAGAGCAGCTTTAACCCAGGTGACATGCACTGGTGAAGGTAGAGCTGATGATACGTAACTCAGCTAGGGAGCAGCTCAGGACAGCCATCACTTCATCTGCTTTCCAAGCTGATGTGAATTTGGTGAAGCAAAAGGAAAAAGAAACAGCCAGCTTGTGGACTGAGCGGCAAGAGTGTGACCAAGGCCATCAGTGCGAGATCAGATCTTTTTCCCCCCCCTGGAGCAAAAGATCCAAGAGGGACCAGAGTGAACTCAGTAAAGTGTGACCCCTTCCTCTGAGCTGGGAAAGCATTGAGTGCCCGATCTTGCAAGGACTCAATGCCTTGCAATTGTTGTGTGATAAATGTTGGGGACACACAGCACCCTGCATGCTGGAGCCCATCTGTTTAGAAAGAGCTGTGTTGTGGGGACTGCGCCGTAGACCATCTATAGACAAAGAATAACATCATATGCTTCACCCAGCGCAGAGTCTCAGAATAGCCGCACGCCCCGTGCAACTTTCTCTGTGTACACGAAACACACAGGAGCAAAATCTGGAGTTGCAGATGCTCAGCACTGCGAAACATTGGGCCCTGAATCTGTACAGCCTGATCAAACCCTCCAAGTCGTTGAAAGAAATGCCTTTAGAGCCAGTGAAATAAAGAGCATCCTTTTGGAGAAAAGAGTGAGTCTGCTACGTGCACGTGACTCACCGTGACTTCTCGTAGACATGAAATGTGAAGTTTTAAGTCACAGAAATGTCTTAAATTAGCCAGCCTAGCGTCAGGTAGAAAAGGGCAGCTGTAGGATCACAACCTGCAAACACCAAAAAATGGTGTGGATTGGCTATGGATACCAAAGCATCCGATACAAATATTTGGTTCAATCCTAGGCAACAGTGACCCAGGGAGGTGAATCCATTTTAACCAATTACCCCTCTGACTCTTTTTCCATTCTGTCCCTCCTGAGCAAAATGATCCTCTTCTATCGTCATCTGCCTGATCCCATGTCCGGAAAAGATGAAACAATATGCAGCTTCCGTTAAATAATGTGCAGCTTTATGGAAAACTAAGATGCAGTGTCTGCTTCATAAGGTCCAGGCACCCCCCGACTCCCACTCTCTTCTCCATCTCTGTGCCACCAGAATGAGGTCAGGCAAAAGGGGATGCTGCATTGCATCGACACCTGACTTCCTCTTTGCTTCCTTTAATACCTGCTCTTGATCCAGCCAGGCCAGATGCATCGCAGCTAAAGCAGAGTAACATCCAGGTCATCTTAGCCCCAAACATTCAGAAGGGTAGGCTGTAGCACATTTCCAAGTATAGCACATCTTATTTACATTGGACTAATACCTGGCCTGGCTTCAGAGGGATTGCATAAGTGCAAATGAGGACAGAATCTGACCTGGCGTCTCCTTTAAAAAGGCTCCTGTACATTTTCCATGATTGCAAATGGGCCTGCTGAGGACTCCTTGCTGGTAGGGACCCTGGTTCAATCAAGCGGACCTGTGTTTCTACTGGTAAAGGAATCACTCAGAGTAGCTTTCTTAGCAGGGGACTGGGAGTCAAGATCCTGGGCTCTCACTGACTTCATAAGTGATGTTGGCCGAGCATCGACAGCCCCTGCAGACATCAGCTCCCAGTCTGTCTGTCGTGGGGGTTTGTAATGCTGCCCAGTGCTGGACTATCCAAGTGTTTTCCACTTAGGATCAGACTGGCAATAGCGAAGGGCAGCGTGCCCTGTGAATGGAGGCAGAGGCACTCAGCAGTTCTGGAAATCAGGCCCTCGGCTTCTCCGTGCGTCCCTTGGCCCGTCAAGAGAAGAGGGATAATACACCACCATCATAACGCATGTAGGCATTAATGTTTGTCTGTGTAGTGCGGGAGGCCCTTCAGATAAAAGCTGATATAGAAGTGCCCAGGAGGCGATGCAATGCTCTCTTTCTTACACCTGTGCTGCTGCTGTTGGTTTTTGGTTGTGTTTTTTTGTGGGGGGTTGCAACTTGGATTTTCCTAACTACGACCTAGTAACTTTGTCAGACTCTTTTCTACCTGCCTATACCTTCAAGGCTGTTCATACTAACCTCCCTCCAATGTGAGTCAAGGGCTTTTTCTGTCTACCAAAACAATCCTTTTAATAGCTTCCTTACAGCACCATGGTACATTGATGGCAAGCCTGAGCCCTGGAGTCAGGGCAATGGAAGATGGCATCCAAGAGCCTTCTTTGGTCTCAGCACACTAATTTATTTTCTTGCCCTTTAGCAAGTGTCTCTCAGCACCTTCTCCACCTGAGCTGGTGGCACAGGGAAAGGTCAATGTATTGATCTCACCCAGCAGCAGCCAACTTGTTCCTGCTGGCCTCCTTTCTCCTCCCCAAACCGGATTTGTTTCTGCTGAAGAGAACAAAAGCTTCTCTTTGCCCACAGAGCAGGGACGGCACAAAAACTGCTCAGTCCTCCTGGCTCCCTCCGTCCCCAGCCTTGCTGGAGCAAACACCAGCTGGTGCCAATTACGGTGGCCGTCTCTTTGAGGCAAACATCTGCCTGCTCACAATTTGGACTGAGACCCACCAAACCCGCTACGGATAAGCCGACAAACAGCCAGCGAGGGCTTGTTCCTCTTGACCAAGGATGGCTATGAAGCAGTTCCCAGCACTGTTGCATTACCAGTCCCTCCAGCCATCTGCTCCCCTGAATGGATCCATTTTACAATCTGATTTTCTCCTGGTATCTGAGAAAATGGATTCTAGGCTCAGGAAGACAGGGAGCTCCCCCCGTTGCACTCCCCAGTCTAGATCTGCTCTGGAGACAAGCTTTTAAATGCTGCTCAGTGTCCAGAACAGGCAAAAGGGAAAAATGATGCAAATGTCCAGCCATTAAGACATCATGCAGCCTCCTAGGGAAAGGTCATTTACTAAAAGCAACAAAAAGGTTCCTCATCTGTCTCTTCTTTCCCTGCAGGAAAAGCAAGGTTTGGCCCTTTACCCTTCTGCACAGCATTCTCCAACCAGCATCGCTTAGTCCATCATCAGATAACAGCTGTCCATGTGCAGCAACGTCACAACTCAAACCAACAATTCATGATGCCTCCTACCCCCTAAAGCATGTGTGCACCTGCTCCTGCTGCTGGGCATCATGTATGAGCAGGGGGTGGAAAGGGCATCATGTATGAGCAGGGGGTAGAAGGGGCATCATGTATGAGCGGGGGGGTAGAAAGGGCATCATGTATGGGGGGGGTAGAAGGGCATCGTGCATAAGCGGGGGGAGGTAGAAGGGCATTGTGCACGAGCAGGGAGGCTGGAATAGGGTACAGCAATCCGTCTCAGCTCTCAGTGTTTGCTGGACTGACACTGGGTTTGTAAAGTGCCGCGTTGCAGCTTTGTGGGGAGCAAGTAAAGTGTATTTTTCTTTTTATAGTCCGTTTCCATGGTGCACTGAGGTTTCCGTAGCAAATCCTACAGCTGCAGAAACCTTGGGAAATTCTGTGGCCTGGGTATAATCATGTGGGAATCTTTCCCCTCCATTCCTGGATCAAAATCCAGAGGCGTAATATTGTCACCAAACAGCTGAGCCTTCTCCCAGCCTGATTCAAGAAGGAAGCAACTGGAGCTGACCTCCAGCAAGAGGCCAAACAGCTCAAGAGCAAAGAACACCTGAGCAAGAGAAGCAAAGCCTGGGGTCGACTCCCCACTTGCTAAAGCCCTCAGGCAGTTTGCAAGACTGCAGAGCAATACATCCCTCTCCACCGTGTACATCTTCGCAATAATTACACTTAAAACGACCATCTGCCTAAAGCACATGCAGACACTCACAAACAATAATGGCTGTGGATACACTCCTATTCTCCTTTGAGTCCCTTCTGCAGAAGTCCCACATGCATTTCCAAAGGTAAAATGCTGCCTCCTCCCATCCTGCACACGGCGACATGCACCGCACTTGCGCAGATCCTGCCCTGCCCGTGTCTAGACGTGTAGGAAAGCGTCCTTTGAAAATCTGGCCATCGCTACCCGAAGATGCGAGGCATCAGCCACCCTCCTCCCCCTTGCCTTGCAGCTCTGCCCAACCGCTACTGCTGTTGAGGGACAGGAGGGCAACTCACCTGCTCTTGTGAATTCATGACCCGCAGCTTCATCTGCTTCAAGTACGTGGAGGTGAGCGGCATGTTGTAATCGATGATTCCCGAGACCAAAGAGGAGGGCGGCTCGCTTTCTGAAGTAAAGAACAGGAGAGATATTCTGCTTAGATGGGGGGCGTTGCTGGCATGCAGCTCTGTCCGTGCATTATCGTCCTGCGTTAAACACCTGTCCGGCAGGAGCATCCGGAGTCCCCAGTCAGCGCTGGGATCCGGTGTGCTAAGTGCCCCGTGGACAATACAGCACCCCTCCCCAAATGCGATGACAGAGCAGGCATCTGGCCCTTTCCCTGCAAAGGGACTGTCATGCTCCCCTGTGGAAATGGGCACCTGTGATGTATAATGTTTTGTCACTCAGCTAGGACGTAGCAAAGAAGGAGCCATCTACTCTTACCAGAGATATTTAAACCATCACCTCTGTGCAAAGGCAACTACTAGATGGTGGCAGCCTGGGGACTCTCACCCCTTTTGAGAGGGGCTCCTTCACCCTGGGGTCCATAGTAAGGCTTTTTGGTAAGTATGTCCATCTCGTGGGACAGCCCCACTGGGCGTTAGTGACTGCTGAAGCAGATATCTCCAGCCAAATGAGAAGACCCCCGGTTAAACAAAAAATAAATCTTAATGGTTTTCTACACCTTACCTCTAGACTTTATTTTCTAGCCCTTTCTCTCCCTGCTCTACTTGGCCAGGCAGCTCGGCAGTTCTCCATAGCAGGAATGGAGGCAGCTGGCATGATTTATTCTAGCATTGATTTCATAGTCACACATAACGTGTTTAGTCACGAGGAGCGTTGCAGTGCACTGGCAGGGTGTGCTGGCCAGCGGGCGTGCAGCTGCCCTGCCCTGAGCGCAGGGATTTGCAAGGTGGTAAACGAATGTAAGGCATGAATCTCCTCCCTCCCCCGGTGCATTATGAAAGGGAGGTGCTGGGGTAGGGGTCGGGTTAGCCCACCAGTGAGTAGTAGTCCTGGGAGCTGAGGTGGACTCAAGAAGGGAAGATTTTCAGTGCCTCTCTGGGCCTTAACCGTGTGACTTGCATGGTCTGGGATCACCTGCTTCACGAGGCTGTCCGTGCCCAAAAGCCCCACCAGAAAGTTGGTGTGACAGGGCGCTGCTCATAAAGGTGTTTTACAGGCGTCCTAACAAAACCATCCAACCAAAACTTATCGCCCTGATTCTCAGAAGCGCTGAGCACCTGCAAGTCCAAAGGAAACCTGCAGGAGCTGTGGGGGTTCAGCACTCGTGAAAGGAGACCGAACTCAGCACGCCTGACTTGGAAAGGCTTTGACCCAAGCGCACGTGCTGCAATGGGCACAAGCTGTCTGGGAGCTCTTTGCAACAAAAGCCTCAGTCACTGTGTGCTTGTTCTCCAGGCTCTTCTCATTCATGCCTGGGCATCTGCAGTAATCCTGCGTCTGTGGACTGAAGGGGATGGTCAGAGCTCTACAGAGTGATTCGCTCAGTCAAATATGAAGGTGCAAAGCCATTAGGAGTCTTGTAAACTCAGAAGCGAAGCATTAAACTCAATCCCATTATGGTGCAGAGGCCAATGGGGACAGGCTGGGGAGAGAGTTATATGCTGCCGGATAGTCTAGGCTGTAGTTAAAATGCACCATGTGCCACCCGCAGCCTGGTCCTGGCCATGGCAGGGACAGAAAAGGGAGCCAACAAAGCACTGCAATAATCTACTTGTGGGGGTAATGGTAGCAGCATGTTTAAGGCAGGCTGCCTCTAACAAAGCAAGGGCAGGAACTCCCTTAAAGAGAAGTGCAAGGGCATCCAGTGGCAAATCTGGGTCTAGCACAGCCTCCTGTGGCCGTAGCCATCCCTAGAGCAGCTTTCCACCATATCAGGGAAGAGCTAAGCATCGTGTCTGGGTGGGCCCACTCGCGCTCCCCGAGTCGCTGCAATCGCTGTGTCCAGCACTAGTAAAAGGGGACTCGTGCACGGAGCGCCGAGACTGTTGCTATACTCAGGCCGTGTCCACCTCTCCCCCAGCTTCCCCACGCGGGAGGGTGGTTCTGCAGGAGCCGTGAAGAAAAGAGGTTTCCCCCGAAGCCCTTCGCCGAAAGCAGCCCCTGCCTCAGTTCTGCAGAGAGCAGCACTTAGCGGGTTTGAAACTGCATCTGCTCGTGCTCCTCCCCGATTCTCCTCCCCAGAGACGCAGAAGAGGCTGCGGTGCACAATGGCCAGAGGACGCGGACTCCTTGCAGGCGCTGAGCTATACAACCATGGGGCCAATAGAGCAATAGGTGAAAAGAGGGAAGGGGGGGGACTGCGGGTGACTGTGTGGAGGAGCAGCCTGACAGCAAGAGCTGTTAGCCCGGTGGTGCCTCCCCAGGGATGCGGTACGAGCCCCATCCCAGACGCTCACAATTAGTCTGGACGAGTCACTAAAAATGGATGTCAAGGGACAAACCTGCAGAGAAAGGGAGATGAAGCAGGCGGCAAAGGGTCTTTTCCTTCCCCACTGTCTAGGACCACGCCACTGCGAGGCCTTGCAACGCAGGGTGCCGGTTCCCAGTCCCTTGGCTTTCTACCGTCTCTCCATTAAAACAATAATCAGTGTCTACCTCATCCAAAGTCACTGTGTAAAGATGACAGTGTTTCTTCATTATGACACTTCCTGCCCTCATTTTTCTGGAATAAAAACCTAGCCGAGCCTCTGCGACTTTATCTATTCAGATAGCTTAATAAGGTCCTTCATTAATAAGGACTGAGAGTGGAGTGCTTCTAGGCTGTCAGGAGCAGGGGAGGATGAATCAGCAGCCCCTCCTCAGAGCCGGTTTCTGGGGCTTCCCTAAGTGATGTGCGTGCACGGGGCTGCGCTGGCCCTCCTGCTGATGGAGAGGACGGGAGGGAGCTGCTTGTCGCAAACCCTCGGCCCTCCGAGGACCCGGGCCGCTAGCCAGAGAGCCGAACCTCGCTGATCTGGTAGCGGGGAGTGGAAGGGACGTGGAGTGGTCTCCCCACAACACCGCTGCTCCCGGAGCTGGGGAAGGGGGAAAGCGAGTCTGCACTGGGCAGAGGGGCAAGATCCTTGCTATTCTGTTGTTGCCGAGCCGGGTGGCAGGCACGGCCTCCCATGCAGCTTGCCCCTAGCTCGAGTCAGGCGTCCGCCTCTCAGATGGCGGTTTGGTGCCGTAGTAATTAATGAAGCTCCACGCATAAAGGATGAGCTCATCAAATGGGGAAGGAGCTGTGGGAGCAAATGAACCCTGCCTGCAGCACCCCGGTGTAAACCTGCCGTCGTGCCATTCACTCGGCTGAACTTATTCTGAATTTACTGCAGGGCAGCCGAGAGACGAATCTGGCCCGAGAAGCGTAGATGCTGTTTTCCAGTCCAAAGTCTCTAGCAATAAAAGGTGGTAGGAAAACCTTCTTTCGAGCAGTCCGGTGGGACTCTACAGGAATAGTTCCAGCTACTGCACAGTAGTAGGAGGCTGCTGAAGGGGGTTAATCTGTCGTCATTAAATATTATCATGGCTTTTCTATCGAGAGTGAAATAACCGTGTCACCCTGCACAGTGGAAGACTGCGCGTGTGTAACCAATATAGTCCAGTGTATATAAGCCGGTATGTGTATATATATATATATATCTATACAGACATACATACCTACACGCCTACATATTCATGTATTATATTATATGGATAACAAGTCAAGGTGTCCAGGACAAAATAGTTCTGTTCCCAATTCCACACCTGGACAACTCCTCCAATGCCCTTACTCCTGATTTACACCAATGTAAATCACAAGGTGGTTATTTCAAGTTTCTCACAAGCAAGACAGTTTGTTTTCACTCATCATACGGTGCCCTGCAGGGGTCAGCACATAAGACACATTTAATTAGGGTTTTTTCCTGGTTGGGATTGCAGTGAGGTGAGATTTTCTTAATGAATGGGGGAGGTGGGCACTGGCAGGAATGGTTCAGATTTTTTTTTTTACCTCAGTGGGAGTTGCATTTTATGTGTGTGCCTACATGTAATCCTTCTACGGCCCCCAGATAAATTCCTATATACCTAACGTTAGTGAAATTAGTCAAGGTCCCTGATAAAAGTCAGTTTAATCTAATCTAATCCATCTATCTTTCATGGGCTTCAAAGCATCCCCTATCTGCGCCCTGCACAAAATCGGAGCGCTCCGAACAGACGGTGTTTGTTTCCTCCTGGCCCTGGCCGAGGAGCAAGACTGTGCATGACGGGCCGTGCGTGTCTGTGTGGTGTATTCCCGAGAGTGCTGATCTTGGGAGAAAGCTTTATGGAAAAGGTCTCTGCTGCACTTGAATCAGGGCAGACGGCCTCGCCCTTGCCTCTCCCGATTGTGATTTTCATAGCAGGGGTCCGGCGATGGGATGATGCTCAGCACCTTGCACTTTGTGTCTGGTATCTGAGCCTAGGCCACTGCAGTGTCTCTAGGGAGCATCGCTGTCTTGGGAGACCGGGGAGGGTAAAGCAGTCTCAAAAGTGGTCATATCCCTTTCCACTATACTGTTTGTGGAAAGGGTCATGGCCATGTCAGCTGAGAGACATGAGTGCTAAACATTATTTAAGTGCTGTGTTTGGAGTCGAGACACAAGATGCAAACTCCACCGGTCCCTCCCTGGTCCTATTTCCCTCCCCCCGCTGCATCGGTTCACAATTTTATCCACCATACAAATAACATTGCTCGTGACAGATACCCTGCAATCAGCCCAGGGGCAGTTTTGTTCTTGCTGATGCCAAAGCCCAACATTTCCATGGGCCTAAGTGAAAGAAGGAAGGGGCCCAGCATCTGCAGCTGGGGAAGGTGCCGCTGCTCTAATGATACCCCAGCTAATTAACATCCTGCATGATTATTCCGGCCCGGTTTCTAGGAAGCAGACCCAGTGTTTCAGCAGCTAGCTGTGGACAAGTGGCACACGGATGCCTGTTTAATGGAAACTCTGGGGTTGACCACAAGTCTGCTCACAGCTGTTAGCACTCGGGAGCTGGCACTGAATAGCAGAAATACCCTGGCACTCGGCTCCTTTCATTCTCCTTCTCTGCTGGACAAGAGCTACCAAAGGGTCAGTTTGCCTTAAGTTACTAGAAATGGTTTAATCCTCTGTGTGGTGCTTATTATTTTAGTACTTTTGTTACGGGAAACCTCCCAGCACGTTTTCCATTCTGCGCTTGGTAACAGAAAATAAATGTGCATCTTGTTACAACAAATACAAGAATTGACTTGGCCGGAGTTTTTCCCATGTATACCAGCAGAAAATTTGGCCCACAGTTAAGCGTTGCTTTTGTCTTTACACTCCAAGAACTGCAGAAAGGTTCAGTTTACAAAGAATGCATAACGAACTAAATCCCGCGGCGGCAGCGATAATTTGGTGCACGCATAAATAAGAGTGTAGCTGGGATTAGCTAGGCACCCTCTGCTACCCAAAACAGGATCATGGCCTCCATTAATTAGTGAGAATGACTTCATTATCAGAAACCTCCATTAGTCAAACTTACTCAATGCCTTTCATAATATGATAATAGTTTAAAGAGGAAATTTGAGGTCATGCTTGTTCAGTAATGTGAGTGTTGTAGGTGGAAAGGTTTTACAAAGTCTAAAGTCAACAGAAATATCTGCAACCTTTCCACCCCAAACTTTTCCACTTGATGTCTGGTGTAAGAAAAATTGAAAGCAGCCAACCAGATGCTAAAGGAAATGGAGTAGTCTGTTTTCATTGTCTGCGAAAGCAAACAGCCTAAACAGGGAAGACCAGGAGATTGGTTCAGTTCTTCCAGTTTTACATTATTATTATTATTATTATTATTATTATCATTATTATTATTATTATTATTGGGTTAGGGAAGCTATGCAGTAAAGCAGTATCACTGCTAACTGGACAGTATCTGAATACCTGGTCAAGGACAGCACTGCAAGGTGACATGCTTTGAGGCGACCAACCTCGCAGAAATCATGTGCCTTTACCTTTGGGCTCCAGTCCGTTGGAGTTGAAATGCATCCTCTTCTGGCACTCCGTGCAACTCATCAGAAACCTGGTCACAGCTTCTCTTGGAAGGAAAGCATAGGTCTCTGCAATCTGGGAAAACAATGAGATGTCTGTGTGTCCTGGAGAAGGGAGACGGCTTAAAACACAGCACCGGGCAAGGGACAGGAGGGATCACCGGCCCCGGCCCACCTCGCCTGGCGCAGCAAAGGAAGAGCGGTATTGATCCAGAGCACAACGCACCGATCCCTCAGCACCCCGTCCCGCTGAGTGCACCAGGCCCTTTTCTGCAAGGGGTGGAGCTGAGCACCGTACCGGAGGTGCTAAGGTTGAGGCCCACGGCAACCCCTGATGAAGGGATTAAGACCTCTGGGCATCCTTCATAGTCAGTACCCAGTACCATCCCCTCTCGCTAGGAAAGACTAAACTGTGAGTTGTGAAAGCACAGTGAAGTCTCTCCATTTCCTGCCCAATTTCCCCTGGTCGTTGTTCCATTACGCCAGTGACTTGAAGGATCCGTTCATCTCGTTAGGGGCAGCTCCGTCTTTCCCGCAATGCAAACCAGTTAGTGTTCGCAACATTTTGCACGCCTCAAACACATTTTATCTGGGGAACTGCAAGCACTTTTACAAATATTCATCTACTGAGTCTCCTGCAGCTTGATGCGATTAGCCAAATGTGTCCCTCGTTTTATAGATGAAGGCACAGAAAAACCAAGGCCGAATTGTTCCAACCTGGGACCTTGAAGTTAAGCATCCATCTCCTTATTTTGGCAACCTGGACATGACAGGCCAAAGCACTTCCCCCAACTACCCCTGTGCTGAGCCTAATAACTAGTGTGTGGCTGAAGGCATCCTGTCTTGACTGGCAAGTATCACCCCCTCGGGCAGCTTGTTCCCATCATCTCACAGTTCGGTCCAGGAGGCTCGTCCTAGCAAACGAGTTGCAGAGCCAGGAAGAGACCCCTGACTCCCAGACCCTGTTCTGATTTGGGAAAGTCCTCCTCCCATTTTGTTTTGCTAGGAAAAATCAAAAAAATTTAAAAACCCACCCATTTTAGTTTTGGGGGTTTTTTCTGAGTGGGGAGGTGGGGAGGGCCTTGTTCAAAAGAAGGGGAAGAAAAGGAAAGAAGAACAAACTCATGTTGAGAAGGGGGCAGGAGGAAGGGTTTTGGTTGGAAATGGATTAAAACAGATTTCTGGAAGCAGAAGTTATGGAGAAGAGAGACAGTCACTTCCACTAAGTGGCAGCATAGCCTCGGTTTTACATGCATGCTAATAGCGAGCGGGCAGAAAGTTGCACAGCTTGTCCCGCAGCTCCAAACTGGGGACGCAGAGCCCTCTGGGGCAGACACGGCCCCATCTAGCTCCACGCCTCCAGTGACCGAGCCACCGCCCAGCTCGGCCCTGGCCCTGCCAGCAATCCGTGAAACGTTTGTCAGGTTGGACAATGGGGCGGGAGGACTACAAGTCAGGCACATGGAGCCTGCTGCTGGCAAAGGAGTTGGTCTGAAGCCTACGAGAGGGCAGCCCGAGCCTGGCTGACAGGAGTACGGCCGGCTCTCCTGCCCCTCGCCCGCTCCAGCCGCGCCATGGTGTCTGCTGCAAATGTCCGGCTAATTTTAGTGATCCAGTTGTTATTTCTCAGCTGACTTGATGCTCTGCAGAGCAGGCAGCTTCCTTGATGAGTTATCTCCCATCCAAATTCCCTTTCTGATTGCTTCTCTCTGGAGGTCACGGACAAGGGCAAACTCTCCAGTGACTCTGATTACAGATGGTGGAGAGGCAGAGGACTGGTGAGGGACGCTGTGCATCTTCTGGAGCTGCCCATCCAGACAGAGCCCCTTTGTGCGTCGGGGCCCCCGGATCAGGCGCCGCGTGTAATCTGCAGTATTTCACCTTCCCAGCCAGGCTGCAAATGTATTCCAGGGCAGCGTGATGGGGCACCAGGGAGGACAGTCAGCTTGAGTCCTGCCAGGTCAGGAGGGGATATGCGCTGCTAATGTGATGATCTCAGCTCAGGAGGGAGCCTCAGGGGTGGAGCGTGGAGCTCTCTGACTGCTGTGAGCAGGCCTGGGAAAACAGACCGACCCAGGCTGCTCCCCGGAGGCTGCGCTGTGTGCAGATTAGTCCTCCGGAGAGCTGGATTGAAGGAATTAGGGAGGGTCAGAGCAGCCTGCTGTGGAAATGAGCAGAACCTTCTGCATTGTGGCCACGCTGGTGAAGCCGCCCTCCTTAATTGCGGAGAGGTCACCCGCCACCGGCCAGAGCACGGCCGCGTGCACGGTGGGCCTGCCGGCTCTGTGCTGCATGGCAGGGGCAGGAGCTGCATGCACGCAGCCCCCTGGTCCCGTGAGCCACTGGGAGGACACGAGATGTCTGCACAGCACTTTGCTCCCCAGCAGAAGCTCCAGCAGCACGCAGGTCCTGCCGGGAGCCCGGGCTCACGCAGCGTGCAGCGCCTGCAGGGCCTGTGATCAGTGCGGGGGCATGAGCATCCGCCATGGCCTCCCGAGCTCGGCATCATCGCGCTGCCAGGCAGAGACCCGGGCAGCCCTCACAAGCAGGGACCCCGAGCAGCACACGCAGCAGAGACGCAGGCTGCTGCCTGCGTCTGATACTCAGCAGCTTGCTCAGAGATGGGGAGGGGGGGAATTCAGCGCCTCGTGGGCAAGAAACAAGATGCAAAATATTTGCAGGGGAAATATCCAACTTCCCCGAGATGCAGGCGTCAGGCTCCATTTGTTCCTGGTTTAGCTATGGTGGCTTCAGCAGGGAGAGAGCAAGCTCTTTGCACCCGTGTGCTGGGATTTGTGAGATCCACCGCTCCCCGGTGCATGCCAGGCCTCCACTCGGAAGCGGAGGGACCCGAGATAGAAATCAGGGCAGCCCATGCGGCAAGTCAGGGCTGCGAGGGGGACGCTGGCCCCCCGGGCCCCATACTTCCATAGTCGTGACTCTCTGCCTTGGGGAGCCTGGGAGAAATGAGGCATTTCTGTACAGCCGCGGCAGGCAGGGAGGCAGGTGGCTTCGAGCAGGGGACGGGGTGAACATCCCCTCGCATCAGCGAGGCTTGAAGCCTGCGAGGAGGCTCCTTTGCCAGTCGTGCGCGGTTGCCTTTGTGTATCACAGCCTGGCCATCCCCTCCCAAGCCAGCATGCACCCACACCACGGCTGCCACTTTCTTTTCCTGTCTCCGCAGCACAGCAGCTGTGCCCTCCTACAACACTCCCCGCCCCGCGCACGCACATGCACACGCACACGCACAGCTTTCTGCATCCTCGCACTGGCAGCCCCTCTCCCCTCCCCAAATCCCACCCCCGCTCGTGCGGGCTCTCGCACCAGGGGGTCTTCCCCCTTTGCACCGATGCGCCCGGCTGTCTGGGGAGAACGAGGAGGCAGCCTCACCGCTCGGTAGGTTTTCTTCTGCCCGGCATGCTTGGGCGCTTTGCCTGGCTCCGACGAGTTCTCCACATGCATTGAGTATATGATGTCAAAGAAATCTTCCACCACGGCAACGCGTTTCAGAGAGATGCCCTCGGGCTCCGACAGTCCATCTGCCCCCTACAACAGTGCAGGCAAGTTGAGTTAGTATCAGCGAGGGGTGACAGGGGTGATGAGCTGGGCCTCGGGCTAGCGTGGCTGGGGAGGGGGGCAGTCACAGCGTTCCCAGTGTTCCCACCCCGGGCGCGCAGGCTGAGGGGGATGAATTAAACAGGGCTCCAGGGAGGCTCCTCTCAGAGCCAGGGCAGTGGCGGCTGCTGCTGCTGCTGCTGCGCTGCTCCGGCTGCCAGGGAAACTGGGCCAAGAACAAAAGCAAGGGAAGAGTCCAGAGCGGGATTTTAACCAATTGAGAAATGTGGTTGTCATCATCTGGAGTGATCTCACTAGGCTGGGAATAGGAGGGAGCACCTTGGCCTTGCACTCAGCACCAGCCTCTCTGGGAGGCCAGGGAGTTTGCTAGCCCCCCACCCCCGGACTCAGACCAATTAGCAGAGCAAGGTTCAACTGTGCTGCCAGGATGGGGTCCCCGAAGGAACAAGGCTGAATAGCCCTCTACCCTGCGCAGACCTTTCCGAAGCACACTCCCTTACACGCCACCACCGCCGCCCTGCCCCTCGGCGTGTGAGGGACACGAGGATGTAATTCTGCCACGTGGCAGCTGTGACGGGCCAGGGGACAGTGCAAAGCATGGGGAGCACCGCTCCTCTTCTCTGGCTGCCAAGCGTGGTGTCTACGCACACTGGTTAGGTGGGCCAAGAGAAGAGGAGGCATCCTTCAGTACGCAGCAGCTGCTCGTGTCATTCCCTGGAGCGGCACCAGAGCCAGGAGTGCTGACGGGAGATGGGGGAGTCATAGAAATGTAGAAGATGAGGGTTGGAAGGGACCTCAGGAGTCAACCCCCTGCTCAAACAGGACCATCCCCAAGACGACCATCCCAGCCAGGGCTTTGTCTATCTGGGTCTTAAAAACCTCCAAGGATGGAGACTGCATCACCTCTCTGGGGAGCCTGTTCCAGTGCTTCACCGCCCTCCTAATGAGAAAGTTTTCCTAATATCCAACCTCAACTTGCCTTACTGCAGCTTGAGCCCATTGCTCCTTGTCCTGTCATCTGCCCCCGCTGAGACCAGCCCAGCTCCATCCTCTTTGCAGCCCCCGGCAGGGAGGTGAAGGCTGCTACTCAATCCCCCTCGGTCTTCTTTTCTGCAGACTTAATAAGCTCAGTTCCTTCAGCCTCTCCTCACCAGTCCTGTCCCCCAGCCCCCAAATCGTTTTTGTTGCCCTCCACTGGACTCTCTCCAACTCGTCCACATCCTTTCTGTAGTTGGGGGGACACAACTGGACACAGGATCCAGATGTGGCCTCCCCAGTGCTGAATAGAGGGAAGAATCACTGCCCTCCATCTGCTGGCAGCGCTCCTACCCTTCCTTGCAGCCCAGGATGCCAGTCGCCTTCTTGCACCATGGGCACCAGCAGCATCTACTTGAGTGTAGAGCTACGGGGGTTATGAGAAGCAGTCAGGTTGCTCAAGAGATGTAGCCTCCTCCTTAAGAAAGCACAACTACTGCATGTAGGGAGAGGCACACGCACGCACAGGTATGATTAAGGCCCTGTTTCCTGCAAGCTAAGCACTGGGTTGTGAGCTCAACTTTTCCATGTCATGGTTGTGAACACGCGTGCAATCAGGCCCCTTGCAAGCGAGCCCTAGCTCCTCTCTCTCGTGTGCAGGAACCGCACCTGCAACGTAACTGTCCCTTTTTAAAACGGATTGAAACCAGGTCCCGTGCCCACGACGCAGGTGGTTCGGAAGCAGCCGTTCCAGGGACCGTCGGAAACGGTTTGCTCTTTAGGCCTGGCCTCCTGATAACGACTGGACTCAACACGCTCAGGGGATATCATCTCTTCAAGCAGCGCGCTGCCCATACGCAAGGAGACATCTTGCACAGGCGTCAGCGTATAGGCTGCACATAGACTATATGGCCTACAGCGAGAGGTACTGCTGGTTTAGCACAAGCACACCGTGTTTCCTGACTCGCCCCCGTCCCCTCCGGGCCCTCCGCAGAGGTGGCTGGAGCGAGGGGGGTCTGTAGAGGGGCAGGGACGGCCGTATTTCGGGTGCCCGACGGAGCGTTTTGGAGGAGGATCAGTTTAATTTCTACGGTCCCTTATTCCAGGGGAAAAGCACGGCCACACCCGAGGGGGGATTGTGTCCCACAGAGCAGGACTGTGTCCGACCCCACGTGCAAATCCCCCGACGGCCGGCCCTCGCCCGCCTCCTCCCTCGCCGTGCCAGGCCGCCGTGGCCTGCTCCCAGGCTGCTGCGGGGCTAGCCGGGCTCTCAGACTGGGCGTCTCTGGGTACCGCTCCTCGTCTGGCACCAGGCTCCTCTCCACCCCCCACCGCAGCTGTGGTGGAGGAGCTGCGTCCTCTGCCGCTCTCGCCCTCTGGAAGGGCCTGTGGGCAGGGCTCTGCCTCCGCGCAGCATCCCTCCTCCTGGCTCCTCTCCCTGCTCCCGTCCTTTGTCCCTCTCTGGGCACGTAACCGTGCAGGGCACGCTGTTGCAAAGGCACGAGCTGTAAGACGGGCGCTTGGGAGGCTTAGACCCCACTGCGGGGTCTGAGCAAGCGTGGGCCTTCGGAGAGGCCGAGCAAAGCCCCCCGGCCCCGGGACCACCACCATGCCACCTGCTTAAAATGAGAGCCGGGCTCTTGAAAGACCAGGAGATGAAAATCGGGACGATCAGACTCATTTGGCGCGGCGGGGGTCTGCGAGGGGGGTTAGCTGCCTTTCAGGGGGTTTCGATGGGGTGGAGAGTCCGCACGCGCCCTTTCCCTTCGCCCTTCTCTGCGCTCGGCAGCCCCCAGGGCACCGGGGCCGCAGGCGGCTTGGGCAGAGCCCCCCAGGCCGTAACAAGCCCCCAGCCGGGCACCACAGCAAGAGGCGAAACTCCATAAAATGTCTGGCGTGCCCTTGCAGCCAGGTCTGCTTTGCCCTTTGTCCACCTCCGCCCTGCGCCGTTTGGGGACTGAGCCCTCCCTCCCCCCTGCTCCCTTCTTGCCCCCCACAGCCTGGAGGCCCTTTCTCCCCCCTCGCCGCCTTTCCACCCTTGCAGGCCGGGCTTTTCCCACCGCGGCTCTGCAAACCGCGTCCCTGGCAGAGGGGAGGGGAGGGCGACGCCGTGCCCACCGGGCGAGGAAGCGGGGCCAGACCCCCACGGCGGGGTCTCGGGGAGGTCCGCAGGGCAGCTGAGCCCAGCGCCGTGCCAGCCGCAGTGGCCTGCTGCCAGGCCTGGGGACTGAACCGCCCCGCTCAGCCCTTCGCTGGCCCGGTGCTAATGACTGTTGACAGACCACAGAGGCTGCCCGGGTGACATCTGCTCTGCCGGCTGCGTGCAGCGGGGTCCGGCCCGGCGGCGGGTCCCAGCGAAAGGGGGAGCACCTCCTCCCGCGGGCAGCGCCCCCCCTGCCACCCTCCCCAGGCCCGAGTTTAAAAGCCCTGTTAGAGCCACGAGCGCCTCTTCGTCAGGCAGGTAATGAGGGTAACCATGGTAACCCAGCAGAGGAAGTGTATTCTGCAGGAGACGTTAATCCGCGCTCCCTCGAGCTGGGACAGCCTGACTTTTCATTCTCACACAGTAATTAGATACCAGCTGTCAGTGCAGGGGGAACGGCTCTGGCTCCGGCAGCCCGGGCGGGCGGGAGGGGGCAGGGAGCGGGGTGGCAAAGCCACCAGCACCCTCCGCCCGGGACCCGGCCAGGGAGGGGACCGGGGGCCTTCGCCCGGCTCCGAATCC